AACAAAATGAGTATTATTTAGTAACAAATACTAATGAAATAATCTAAAAACAATTTATATGCTATTGTGATCATTAACTTTGTGAAAATTACTCCACAGTTCTAAATAACACAATAATTATGAATTCTTAAATGGAAAGCTGGATATTCACTTATATGATCAATCTTTAAATCCTTCATTTAAATCACAATGTAGGGAATAATAACACTTGTCATCTTTATATTAATAATATTTTTTTATAAAATTTTGATTTTACATGTATGCCAAATTTTACAATATTACAAGATATTCTCCTATATTTTATACCAAATCATTTTTTATATAAGTGTTCAACTCTTTTAGAATTGCGCACTATTTGTTTACATAATTTTCACAAATATTACTAAATTTTATGGAACATAATTCCTTTAACTAATTATTCATGTAATGCTAAATAGGATGTAACTCGTTTTTGTATTTAATTTAGTAATCTTCTAAATATTTGCACTATAAATTACATTCATTTTTGGAAATATATTACTTTAGGCAATGAAAATTGTACATTAACTGGTATTTTCTTTTATTCCTTTCTAACAATAACCAACATAATATTATAGTTATTATTATTGGAGAATTTATACAGGTTTCTATGAATGCATACATATTTTTTTTATGTTTACATCAATTCTCATCTATTTTATGTCATCAATTTTTTATATACACTCTTCCCAGAAGAATTCTTCATAAATTTTTATTCTTAAATATATTTTGCTCTCTAGAGCTGCTCAATATGATGGGATAAAACCTCACATTATCATACTATATATTCCTCTTGATTCGTGATATTTTCTCATAATTTTAATTATTTATCCTTTGAATTGTTGAATGGTTCAATTAATCTATCGTAATTACTTTCCCAGCATATGAATGTTTTTCCAGTAGGTAACATTTTGTCTAATTCAAATATTCCTCAATTACAATACATTTATTATTATCCCCATTTAATATATTCACTTATATATAAGGGAAGTGAATGATACATTTTTCATATATTTCACCTTGTGTATTTCTATTTTTGTCATAATTGTCTGCAGCGTTTCCTTCAATTATAAATTTAATATATATTTTTATATTTTGTGTATATTTTTTCGAGTATATTTTGTTAAAATAAAATAATAAATTCGATAAATTTCAATGATTTTACAATATATTTTCTTTTAATTATTCATTGTCCAGTAAAAAAATTTTCTTTATATATATATGTATATTACACACATAATTCAATTTATACCGTAATATGTTAATTTCATACATTCTGAACTTTATGACTTTTATAAATTCATAATAACAAGAATTATAATGATGAACATATAAACAATTTCCTAATATGTTACAAATATAATCTACAGAACATTTAAGAAGTATAAGAGGAATGCTAAATATAACGCATGAATTTTTCTGTAAAAATATGTCATTTATTTCATCGTAAAATATTAAGTATTATGAAATAGAAATAAAATTCTGTTTTTATAATAATAATATAATTGATAAATAATTTTTTGTTAATTTGTCATACAAATTATTTAATATCTTTTTTAAAATTTATTAGCGAGTAAATTATACTACCAAGAAAATTATTTTTATATAAAATTAATGTATGTGCACTGAATTATTAGAACACATCTATGTGATGTGTTTATTAGTTCTGTATTTAATTTAATATATTTTTTTATCAATTAATTATTTAAAAATGTGACTTATTACTACTGTATAAATAATACTCATGACATTTTGAATTAAATAGTAGTATGAACTCACATATATATGCTCTTGTTTATTTATATAATGGATCAGATATTGTAATTACACTGATTCATGATATTGAGGAAATATATTTTTTACAGAATTGGCACTAAAAAAAAAGGAAAAATATATATATATAACTAAAATATATAAAATAAATTTATCCCTAAAATAATTATCAGTCGATAATACATACGGTCTCATGATATGATAAAATATGTAATTTATTTGATAAGCTCTTGTTTTATTAAAGATTTATATCATTGAACTCAACAAACAGCTATGTGTATAAAGAACAATGGTAATCCAGGAATAACATAAAAAATTAATAATATAACACTTTACTTACACATGTATGCTTATACAACATTATAAACTATGTTCTCATAAAATAAGCTTTTGTCCTATAACAGATCAATACACTATATATAAGTAAAATATAAGAAAGTATGTACATATAGATTTATATTATTACTCTATATTACGCCCTATACTCACATTGAAATTAGTATAACAGAGAAAAATTTTTACATATCATGTGTCCATCTTTTAATAGAACAAAAATCAGAAATTATCGTATTAATGTGTCTCTATCATTTTTTTTTTTTGGAAAAATAATAAATGATGATAAAACGTAAATATTACAAACAACCAGAAGAACAAAACAAATTACAAAATCATTGCAGAATAAGTAAAATGACAAAAATAAAAAAAAATGTACTCTAAAACTACCTTTTGGCCCATATAATATAAAATATGGAATCTTGAACCTTATATAAAGAATCATACTATGTGTCTAAATTACTAAAATTCACATATATATAAATTTAATATTTTAATATCAATTTTATTTTTATCACATGAATATTCTTTTACTTTTTAATTATAAATTTCTACCTCAAATTAAAATATACATAATATACTGCAAAAATTTTATGCAAATTTTTTATTTTTCTCCTATATATAATACACTATTTTCTCAAAATCTCTATTTTGAATTTATTGTCTCCTTAAAGTATCCCGTAAAAATTGAAAATATACAGTATGTGGTATGTTCCAACTTGCATTAATATTTAATTTATGCTATTTTTATTTATATACATTTGTATCTATATTAATGACGCTTTATATGGTATTAATAACTTATTTACACATTTCATATAATCATTCATATTTCCAGAATAATGAAATGAAATAATTTAACATAAATATATGCTGTAATGAGATGTATAATGCAAAAGACACAAGTTATAATGATCAACTATTCAGAGCTAATATTATATCTCATCTTTATGGAAAATATGAGGAATATAAAGATGTATTAAATGCTACTTATTACATGCCTAAAGAGAAAAATAATGTTGAATGACATGATAAACACTGGTGATATTTATATTTCTGTATTGTATATAAGGTGTTTGATTCTGTGGATCATCAAATATTCAAAAATGTTTATTCCACAATTAACGTATTAAAGAATTAATATAACCATGTAAGGAGTAATAACTATGATCTATTAAATATTATTAAAGATAATTTTTATGAATTTAAGCAAATTTTTTTTTATAATGCACAAAACATAATAATGAAAAAAAAAAACGTAAATCAGCAAGATAATGCATGAGATGATATATGTTGTTATATAAGAAACTAAATTGAATATGTTCATTAAACTATGCAGCACAATGCTCTATATATAATATTATAAAAAATTATTTCATAAATAAAATCCATGAAGTATTAAAATGTTCAAATATTACATATTCTATGGTAAATAAAGAAAAAGACTAAAATGTTATAGAAATATCTATAATCATGTAATAAAAACGTGAACCCTAAACTTAGATCCTGAAAAATTGGCAGTGGCTGAAACAAAGAAAACAATCAATTCAGAGGGAAAATCAGAGACATTGAACAACTACGGAATAATGCAAATAGCAAAAATCTTGAAAAATTCAGCCCAATCTGCAGAAACAAGAACAGTAATAGACATGATTGTGTTTGCTTTCTTAGTATTAATAATTTTATTTATATTATATAAGGTTAAAAATTATTTTATATATATTAAATAAATATCATATTACCATATATATTATATATAATTTGCAAAAATTACGTGCTTATAATAATGACATGGTCATCCTTTATTGTCAGTACAGTACTTATGGTTCATTTTTACTACTAAAATTGAAAACCATAAGAAGAACATTAAAGAAAAAAAATATAAATAATCTGAATTTAAAAAATGAAATTAAGAAGACATATAATAATAGGAATGTAAAAAAACATAGAATCGTATATAACTCCGTAGAACACATCTAATAAATATATAAGTATAGTTAGTAAATTCAACTTAGTTTATTTCAAGGTATAAAGAGAATTATATAAATTGTCATGTATATCTGTAGTAATTAGAATAATAAAAAGAAACACAAATTCGAACAAAAGCATTCAATATATTAAACGTACATTTTTTTTTTAAAATATTGTACAATCTATAATTTAAGTTCATCCATTTATATATAAAACATATTTATCTTATGTTTTCAAATAATAATATTATATATATAGTTGTATATAATACCAATAGTTTTATGATATGTAACAAATATTATAAAATGTATTAGAATTCAAATTTAATTATTAATATTATTATTTAATCATTCTATATACATTTATAAATACTTTTCTATAAACAAAATATTTGATATATATAGTAAAAATGTATATTATTTGTATTTAATTATTATTAAAATAAGAAATTTTTATATGCATTATTCTATTTTCAATGTAATATACAATTAATTTATTTATAATAATCATTTTATCATAGAAAAATTTCCATATACATGCAAAATATTGTATATGATATCTAGAAAAAGAATATATTTGTTCATAGAATTTATATATAATGCTATTTATAGTATTAAATAATATAATTCAAATTATTATATTATATAATTTTAAATTTTATCTTTTATGATCACAAATTAATATATTATATTTTTAATATTATATTAAAAAATAACATCCCCTTTATATGAATTTATTAAGAGAGATATTTCCCATATAATTTCTTACAACATTTAATACGATTTTCAAATAATGCATTTTCTTCTTATTATATTTCTAATCACAATATTAGCGAGAATGATATAACATACTATTACTACTATGTCTTGATATAGGATTGATTATTTCGGATCCTAGGAATATATTTATTTGTTCATCCATATTATCCCATTCTTTCCTTTACGCAATATTGTTCGACGAAAAAAAGAACCAAATTTTGTAAACTAATTCATAACAAATAAAAATTTATGCATTGAAAATATAATTATTTTTATGACAAAATTATTATTATATATATAATTTAGGAAATATATTTTATACTGTAAATATATATAAATAATGGTGAAACTAACCTTATACAATAAAAATATAAAAACTAATGTTAACAAAGATATAATAAGTGTAATAATGATGGGTACTCCAATATGGTATTGGCATGATGTATTTGTCTGAATTTTAATGGGTTCATGAATTAACCTATCTTGAGTTTTAATTATAATGTTATATTTTTCAACATATCCTTTAATTGCTTCACAAAAAACTTCGTCTTTATATGAACTACAAGCATTCTTTATATATATGTCATTTTTATTTATATTATAAATGGCTTCAACCTTTGGCAAATCGTCAACTACAAATGGCACCTCATTGCTTTGGGTTATGTGTTCTCCTATTTCATCTTTATCCGGTATTTTTTCTCTAAATATACGAATTAATTCGATAAAAATTTTTTTTATATTTTCATTCTTACTTATGTCCTTTTTAAAAATATTATCATATATCCAATAATACAGGTAGTTACATCCGGCTTCTTTTAAACTATCAACCTCAGCAGCATTTACTTCACCTAAGTATTGCATAGCTTGGATGCATATTTTTTCTTCATCACCATTATCGCCAATTAATTCTTTTAATTTTTTTTTATAAGATTCTTCCTTACATACATTCCCCCACGTACCGCCAGTACCATCACTTTCAACTGCATGTATATTTAACCTTTCTCTACAATAATCAAAATATTCTGCAATTTTATACTAAGATTTAAAATAAGTAATAATAAAATAATATGTATACTCTATTGAACATGTTGTTATAATACTTTAGGAAAATTAAATATGCAAATATTATAACATTGCTATTAAAATAATTTAGATATACTATAGATTTATCCATTTAATACTATATTTTGATGCAAGAAAACTTTATAAAACATTGAACCTTATTAGTAAGTATATATGTCTTTTTAAAAATAAAAATATTAAGAATCATTAACATTACATTTAATATAATTATGTATTCCTAAGAGAGCATATAATCCAATCTTTGCATCGTTATTTATTATATAGCTTAAATGAATATGCTAATTACATATGATGTTAATTATTCATTTTACTTCTTCCATATGGTTCAATTTTAAAAGATAAATATAATTTTAAGAAAAAATAATAGATGATGTTAAAATATTTCATTAGAAGTATTCTAGTATATTAAATATGTACAAATTCACTAATTCACATAATAAAATATAAAAAGAACATCTAATATTTATATGTGCCATTAAAGTTATCAGATGTTTACTAGTTATTTTATCATTACTTATTGTAATACATATGATAGTACGTATAACTAAGGATAAGAAACATAAAATAATAGAACAAATTATAATTCTGATTTAATATTTAATTGTTTCTTCATTAACATATTAAAAAATTATAAACTAAGAATAAATATATGATTTCATGTGCGTTTTACATAAATAACAAAAAAAAATACCATGTTTCCAATATTATTTCATTTTATATAGGTTTATTGCATATTTTAAGTTCACATATATAAATAAATTCCTTTTTAAAATTATTATTGTTTAGAAGTCCTAATAAATGAAGAATTTAGATAATAAAAATATCATATATATACATATACAGATTATATTTAAATTTTAATTTTAAGTCGAAAATAAAATCAGAAATGTTCTAAGTAAATGTTTTAAATCATTTCTTCATAAATAGCATTAATGTATATATTTAATTGGTTTCTATATACCTTATAAAATAATATAGTAAAAAATAATTTATTGTTCTTTTGAGTAAATTCATTTATAGTTCTCAATAATCATTAATTATTTTAATTGATTTATCATTGAAGAATAAAAATATAAAAATATGCCAATAGTAAAGGTAAATTTAACATCATAATTAGCCATGTACAAAATAAATAATATTTTTGTAATATAAAATTTGAGATTTATTTTATTATTTCTTCATATTTTACTAAATCTTTGCATTATTTTATATAATAAAGAATAAAATATTACTGATAATATATTATCACAAAAAAAGTGTATTCTACATCATTTGTTCTTTCATGATACATTTATTCATGAAATAAATATTATCTTCCTAAGGGAATTTTTAATTGCATAATAAATATTCATATTAATATATATGTAAAATGTAAACAAATCTATATAATATATAAATTTACCTTAAATAATTAACTCACATTATATGCTATAATGTATCCAATAGATAAATCATATTATAGAGATTATTTCCGAGAAATTCTGAAAATTGCAATAATTCATTTGAATAATTTTATATTTTATGTTATATAATACTAACCAACTTATAATATGTTGTATGAATATTTTAATTAATTATACTACATAACTACATATTTACTGAATTATATATTCTATTATTATAAAGGAAAAAATGTAGGAAAGGGAGGATTTATTTATATATTCAAATTATGAACACATATTAATACTATAGTTCTTTTCTTGTTTAGATATTATTATTAATACTTTGCAGTTTTTACGAATTAATATAGATTCTATACAGTAACATAACACGACATATTATGATTTCTTTTAATAAAATATATATTTTTTTTTTCCTATTTATTTAGATTAAATAATAAATATACTATGTGTTACATATGAAATACAATTATATATAGACCATGAAAAGGAAAACTAATAAGAGACCTCATGATACTACTATATCATATATATAATTGTAATGATGTCTAACTTTATATTTATTCATTATTTATTTTATTATGTTTAAAAATATATTTTCTTATTTTCATAAATTCATTACTTATTCAACCAGTAATATTATATAATATGATCCATGATGGCGATGAAAGACGTAGGATTAACTCATCATTATAAAAATTACATTATTTTAATATATTTAAATTCTATTTTTCATTAAGAATATATATTTCATTATCATAATGTGTTTTTTTCTAATTTTAGTATAGTTTTATAAATAAATTTCATATATATGAAAAAATTATGGAGAATATTGAAATTAGAGAGGACGATCCCTCTAATGCTAAATGCAAAGAATTGTATAATGTTGATTCAGATAATGTTAAATCTATCATTATTAAAAAGTGCCCTCAAGCTATATCATATTTAAAAACTATAAATGATAAGGAAAAGAGTGAGAGAGAAATTGCTTGTAACTATTTTTATTATTGGATATATCACGATATACTTCAGGAGAAAAAAATAATAAATAGCTATAAATTAGCTATTTATTTAATTACTGTATATCGTTATCTTTACAGAAATAAAAATATATATGAAATTTATACATCAAAATTTAGTAATAATGATGATTTAGAAAAGCTTAATATTATATATGATATGTATAAAAATCATGATATTATAGAAAGAAGCTGCTTACGTAAAGATAAAGATATTTTTTGCGATATAATTAAAGAAAAGATAGATCCATATATGAAGATATTTAAAATTAATGATATTGTTGCTATTACAGAAGAAGTAAAAACTACTTGTAAATCTAATGTAATCAGTCCTATCATAATTACATTTGTAGTGACATCATTAATATCCATTTTTCTATTCATTCTGATTAAGGTTAATTTTGTTATAATTTATATATATTTATGCTATAAATAATTATCCTATGTAATTTTTTATGAATTCAATTTTCATAAAAAAAACTATACTCATAATAAATAATTTTTTTTTATTACAAATTAGTTCACATCGTATGGTTCATACATACGCCTTGGTTTAGAGAGTATAAAAAAAAAGTGGAATACACTGGATGAATTGAAAATATTACAGAATTCTGACATACCAAACAGAATTAAAATGAATGAAAGATATAATATACTATATAACGTTGAATAATTTTACCATGAAATACATAGTTCATGTAGAATATTTTGTTAAAAAAGGTATAAATGAACTGTAAACAAATTATATAGATATTACTTCTAATAATTTGATGTAAGAACACAATAAATATTATAATAATATAAAAATTAATATTTGTTTGTAGTTTAATAACATCATATTAGGAAAAATATTTAAAAAAATTATTCAATAATAGTATAGGTTTAGGGTTCAGGGTTTAGGGTATAGATTTCAGGGTTTTATGATTTATGATTAGAATTTATGCTAGAACACATGATATTTGTCTCATAATGATAGGTGAATACATTATCGTTTTAATATATATTAGATTATCAAGATAATATATGATATACATATTGTATTTTTACAAGTTTATGATATTTTTCCTCATAAGTTATAAGTGAAAAATAAACTGAATAATTATAATTTTAATTGATTAATATTGTATAAAATATATTTTTTCCTATTTACATTAATTGTTATATTAATTACATGTATTTAACATATATATGTGTTGTCTAAGATATATTAATTATAGTA